TGCAGATTTTCCTGCTCCCTATAGATATGTCTGGTGGATTTAGATCTGGTGAGCGTGAAAGCCATACATCTTTCAAAATAATGCAAAAATATGATTAGAAAAGTGCACAGTGACTTTTCAAACACTGTGTACAATAAAATATTGTTGTAATTCTGCATGATACAGTCAGAGTAAGTTGGCAAGATAGCCAAGGCAGTTAAGGTATCAGCTTACAACTCTGGGAAACCTGGGATTGAATCTGAGTAGTTAAAAGACCCCAGGAATTTTTCACGGGCAATCTGCTTTGATATGTTGAGCTCCATCATTCACCATCAGTCACCCCTATTGTGAGCCTGGCCAAATCCATCATAGCTACTGTACATAAAAGGCTTTCTTACTGCCCAAAAAGTAGAAAGAGTAAAAAGGCCGACGGGAGATGGTGAGTCCTCCGAGTGTCCAGCATGTTTCAGGCCCACTCAAGTGAAGACTGGAGACGCCGACAAAAGGCGGAGAAGGCTCTCTGTATTCCGCATCGTTAAGGCTTGTTTGGGTGAATACTGGAGATGCCGACAGGGCGAAGAGGGCTCTCTGTGTCATGTTTCTTTAAAGCCCGCTCAAGTAAAGTGGCCGACGGGAGATGGAGAGGCCTCCGAGTGTCCTGCATGTTTATTAAGGCCCGCTCGGGTAAAACAGGAGATGCCGACAAAAGGCGGAGAAGGCTATTTGTGTTTCGCATCTTTATGGCCCGCTTGGATGAAGACAGGAGACGCCGAAGAAACGTGGAGAAGGCTTTCTGTGTCCTGCTTTATTGAATTTTGCGCAGGGCGAGTTTTTTGTTTTTCTTTATTGAGGTTCAATATGAGTTTGAAGTAAATTTTGTGGCCCTAACGTGCGTTTTATTACAACCGGGAATCTTAGTAGGTTTCTTTCTTTCATTATTACTAGTTGTAATATTGCATCCATTAGTTTAGATAGTAACAATACGGTGAGTTTCGAATAGTTGAATTTGAAGTGTTCAGAGGAAGTTATAAATATTTTCATTGTGAGTTGGGACGAATGAAACGCGACAAGTGATGTCAGTCGCTTATAAAGTTGCATTCTTTCCAACTCTTGGTGGAACTCTGAAGCGGCCACCTCCACGTGGTGAGTTCTGGGTTGTCGTTTGTCTGGAAATGACGAAGGGCAAGCGAAGAGCTGCTTGTTTCTTTCATTTGAATATTAAGGAATGGAAACATGCCGATAAAAACAGAAATTACAAAAGTAATTAAAGTTAGGAGAATTAAGTATCTAACTTTGGTATAAATCGCTTTAAGTGTTAATTCCTTTGTTTTAATTGTGATCGTAAATTTCAAATCATCCTAGTTCTGAATTATTAAAATATAGGTCTAAAATAGAATGTTTGTTAGTTTTATATTAAGTGATGTATAAGTAATACAATGCAACCGTTCATTTTTATATGTACAGCAAGACCTTGGGATGCATTCCTAGACGACAAAACGCTAAATAAAACCACGTTAAACCAGGTCATTTTAACACATAGTAAATAGGAAAAGGGGAATACACCACCAAAAATAAACAAATTTTACTTAAATTTTAAGTTATTTTTATATTAATACATACATAACACATAAATATATGCACACAGAAATATAAAATTTATTTTTGTGATGGAGGTCCTGGCTTTTTCGAAATTCTTCATTTTTTTTTGCAATGAAGTCGTCTAGTATCATTTGTCGGAGTTTTTTTTTTTTTCTTTAAACAAATATCGGTAGCAGAAGATTGCATTCAAAACGCCTCGTCTTGTTTTTGCACTCATTTCAAAATCTGGATCATTCGCTACAATTTGATCAACGATTTCGGTAATCGTTAAAAAACTTACACTAAGGAAATCTGTAACAAGTTTTTGAGTTCTTTGTTTTCAGAATCACTGTTTTCCAGCTCTACACGAATTCCTTGTTCTGCCAGTTCTTGAAGTTAGTCATTGGTAAGGCTCTCACCAGAAACCTGCAGTAACTCCTCAATATCCTGCTCTACATCTTCTGGTCTTGCTGTATTGATTAGGTTGACAATTTGGTAAAAACCCTACTCATACGCTACTGAATACAACAGCACCGGAAAGCGGCACTTTTTGACACCAATACAACAAAGCGGTAAGACAGCGGTGATGGGACGAGCCCAATGGTTTGAGTTGCCTTGCTTTGGCGCCGTTATATCTTGCTATTGTTGTCCGTTCCAGCATTACCAGATTTGGCTAACCTTTTTTAGTTTGGCATAAAAATGTCATTTGGCGCATTGGCTACTTTTGGGCTACTTTTATAAAATTTTTGGCTACAAACACTAAAAACATCTGGCAAATCTGATAGAGAAGAAGAAGTCGGATGAAAGAATCAAGAAAAATTCCATCGAGAAAGATTATTGAGCTCCAAGATTTCCATCAAAGTAAACCGAGAAGGAATAAGAACTATCAAACAACTCCAAAGAGCAAGCGTTCTGGAAATCCACCACCCCAAGATCATCACCAGTATTTGGGTACCCACTTTCCTCTATCCTCTATTCTATTGTTGGTTTCTGATTCTTAAATTCTCCCTCACTTGTTCAATGTTAGTTGTAAGTGCGTAATTATAGTTATATGTATTGCAAAATTATTGAAGACGGGAATTGATTGTGTCATAAAAATAGAACTGATAACAACCTGATAAAAATTGTAGTACTGCTCGTATTATACTTTTGTACTGGGACAGAGAATAGCGAGGTTGAGGCCGAAGTTTTAAACGCGGAAATGTGTACGTCGGACGTTCATCGCCGCTTTCCTGTAAGCCTAGTAGTTTGACAATGGTGTTTGGATAGTCAGTGGAATCATGCTCGACATTCCAAACACTATTGTCAAACTTCTAGGCTTACAGGAAAGCGGTGATGAACGTCTGACATACACGTTTCCGCGTTTAAAACTTTGGCCTCAACCTCGCTAATAGCTGGCATCCTAAAAACCTGTCTGAATTCACGCGAAATAAAGATATTTCTTATATATAGTTGTATCTAGTAAATCTATTCACACCTCACATCACAATATATTGAATCCTATAATTTTATTATATTTCAGAGAATATTATAATAATATAATGCATGTTTTATCTTTATCTAAAGCAGTGATTTTCAACCGGTATGCCATGAAAATTTTTGAAGGTTATTAAATAAATTATTTTCGAACGAAGCCCAAAGAACAATAAGTGTACGTGTCAAAATTAAAACCTCTTTAAGAGTTTTTCATTGTTATCTAAATATATAAAATTACTTGTCTTGACTGACTGAGTCACTGATTCATCGTTGCCCAGAGCAAACCGCTGAACCTAGAGGTGAAATTTGGTACACAGTTAGGGTACGTCATGAAAACGTACACTAAGAAGTGATTTTTCAAAATTCCCCCGCGGGGGGCGAGGGAGAGCATTAAGGCTTAACCGGAAGAATGGCTTCTATTGTACTATTTTAGATGCGATTTTTTGTTTTCAATTACATTCAGTTTTCATTGAGTACTCAGGTGTAATAAATTGATAACATTTCAGATTGTTATAAATATTTTTACATGTTTCAATTTTTTAACCAAATGTTCGAACCGTTTTAAATTCGAATTTGTTATTGCTAACATTAAAAGTGCTCAGCAAATAAACACAGAAATAAAACACCTTAATTCGTTGCTGAGAAAAATATAATTGAAAAACAAACGTTTTCAGCCCGATTAACAGGCCATCATCAGGTCAAAAAANATTGACTTTCGGATAATCGATGCTGTACTGTATTAATTTGTATATAAAATAATAAAAATGAAAAAAATAATAATAATAATAGTAGGATACATTAATACAGTAACCCCTCATTATATTACACGTCAAGAAACAAATCAATGAACAATATATCAGATAGCACAATAAAATGATGTATCTATCTACCTGTTATGTCTATTTTCAATCTCCATGCCAACTTTTTTTTTGTGGGTTATTTCATACAATTTCAAGGTTAATGTTTTGAATAAGATAATATTTTTTTGCTAGTAGAAATTCAATTGCAATTATTGGTTAAAATGCTTTTGTATTTAAAAAACAAAAATATGTGATATATCTTAATGAATGATATAATGATTCACAATATAACAAGGAGTTACCATATATTAAAATTTAAAAATTATCTGAAAATTTATGAGAGCGTTAAAATTCTTCATTAAAATAAATTTAGATTTTTATAAAATATAATTGATTCAGTTAATCTTATTTTAAAAACTACCAAAGTATTCATCCATTTTAGTAAAGAAATGGTCAATAATTTCCTCTTGCTTACAAGTTTGCTTTTTCATAAAAATATCAAAATAGATTCCTGTATAGTTCATTTTTCTTTTCTATACAGGCAATCAATTTCATAAATGTTATATTTAAAATCAGACATTTTTTGTGTGTCATGTTGAATTATAAATTATTTCATATCAATTGATATACAATAACATATGTTTTAAAGTAGCTGTTATTTAAAAAAAAAAATAAAACATGAGAACTTTTTCTGTGAAAATCTATTATATGTATGTATGTATATATAAAATGCAGTTGAAGATATTGTCCAGTTTTATAATTTATGCAGACAGATAATAATGATTTTATATAATAATACATCATATTGAATTATATAAAAGAATGCATGTCAAATTAGCATTGAATATAGTTGTAGTCTATAATAATAAATTTAAACAATTTAGATCAATAAGATAAAATATTGATGTCAGTAGAATATAAATGTTACATCTCTTCATTTTTTTAAACTAAATGAAATTGCATTCTGAATTGATATTTTTTCAGAACTTTAATTTGCTATTTAAGCATTAAAAATTTTTTCTGGAACAGTAAAAGTATAAGCTTAACTTAAATAAATTAGTACAATATTTAAAACAATTTTAAATTATAACAAAATACAATAAATGCCTATGAAAAATTTAATAGTATTGTAAATAATTTAACATAATTGAAATTAAACTGACTCACGTGTGGTCTCATCCATGTCACTTTCCCATCTATTAGAGGATTATTAAAAAAGATTGAACTATTCTTTGGTGGAAATTCAATATCAACAAACAGCTGACCAATTGTTAATGATTCTATCTTCATAACATTATCATGTTCCTGTAAAATAAAAAAAATTATTATTTATTTACTTATTTTCCTTTTTAACTCTTTCCACCCTGTAAGCAATATAGGCCTTTCCCCCACATTCATTGTAGGTTCAGCCTGGCCCACTATTTGGGGTGATGGGTGGTGAGAGATAAGGCCTGACATATCTGGGACTGATTGCCCATGAAAACTTTCTGGGGTTGCCCCAGCTTGAAAATCTTTATTAGGCAGTCAATCCATTTTAATTTGTTCAAATTGATTACATAAAAAGTTAAAAACTTTTATGAATTAGTCCTGAAAAATTCCTGGAGTGTTTTTGACTGTCCAGATTCAATCCAAGGTCTCCCAGTTAGATTGTCAATTTAACCACCTCGGCCATCTGACCAGCAATTATTATTATTATTCAACGTATTCTAATTAATTTGAAAAGAAATTTGACTTATAAATACATATTATTTTTATATGACAAATTTTGTTTATTTATAAATATCAATATTACTTATTCTAATCCTATCCTTTCTTTCTACTTTTTGTGTATAATCCATAGAAAATTATATCTTTAGATTAATATAAATATTATATCAATGCAAAAGTAAAAGTGCAATTTATTTATTTAATTATTAATAATAAAATATTTTAAGTGTGTTCTTACTTACTTGCATGTAGTAGTTATATTTTTACATATTNACTTAAACTTGGTTGGTGGCAATGCTGTGACAGTATTGCTGTTTTAACATCCAAACTTGAAGAGTGGTCAATGTGATTTATTTTTTCCAGTGCATAGTAAATATCATGTTCAAATTTTGTAAGATTTCATTTTCTGTCTGTACTCATATTAAAACTCAAGTTTAATTTTGAGTGTAGAGACAAATTTTATATAAAAGGAAAAAAAAGCTAGCAGGTGAGCCAGATGTTGCTCGGGCAAAAAGTAACGATAACGAAGATTAAGATTATTATATTATAACCGATCTTACCCGTTTTCATTAGGTGCAAGAATTAGGTCCCCCCTTCTTCCGAGACTAATTAGAGCAGTGTTTCCCAACCTTTTTTGTGCTATGCCCCACCTAAACCTTTCTAAAATTCTTATGTCTCCCTAACATATACAGCGACTATACGGTTAACTTAAACTCTGGATAAGTCCATTTTCGAATTGCCCTCCTTAGCAATCCAATTGCCCCCTGTGGGGCGTGGGCCCCACGTTGGGAAACACTAAATTAGAGAATTTTTAGATGGGTTTAAAAGCATGTTCGATTTTTCGCAAAAAAAAAACTATAATAGTACAGTAGAAATAGAGTTCTTTAGGGTAATCCTTAACCCTCTCCTTCTCCCCTAGAGAGAAGAATCTCGAAAAATTCCTTCTTAGTATACATTCTTATGACGTATCCTGTGTACCAAATTTCAACTTTCAACTCCTAACCGTTTGAACTCTGAGATTATTAATTATTATGTTGGGTTTTGTGAGTTATACTCGGTTCACACCGGTGGCTGTGTACTCTGCCAGACCAGAGTCAAGGCATCTTTTTTTAATTGTGAATGTTATCTACACCAGGTGTCTTCCAGTTGTGTGTTCTGTTAACAACGTAGCGAATGTCGTGTACTATACGTTTATTTCAGCACAGGGCATAGTTGGTATGTTGTGCAAGTTTNCTTTTTTTACATTATATCTATGCACTTTTAGTCTTACTCCTAAGCTCCTGTTGGTGATGCCGATATAGTCTTTCTTAACATCTAGTTGGATGTTCTCATAAGGAACTTTATAGACACCTGTTTTTTTCTGCTTTTATTCTATCTTTATCATTCCTCAATATCTTATATAAATTTGAGGCTCTTTTTAAAACCATTCTTGCTTGTTTCCTATTAGCAACTTCTTTCATAATACTATTCAAATTACTATTATATGTAAACTTCAAGCGCCTATTGGAAGCGATATTTAAGCCTTTTTTGACCTGATGATGGCCTGTTAATCGGGCTGAAAACGTTTGTTTTTCAATTATATTTTTCTCAGCAACGAATTAAGGTGTTTTATTTCTATGTTATTGCATATTGGTTCGATTATAGAATGATTGTAAACGTTCCAGAAAATTGATCAAATTGAAAACAGTTGTTTGATTCTCAGCAATTCTCATCATTCTCAGCGGTAGGTGTTATATAACAATTACTATGGTTCTTGAAATACTGAATATAAATGGGGATTGCTTGCAAAACCACCGTGGGCGAAGTCGCGGGTAACAGCTAGTAATAAATAAACGTATACATAATGTAATAAAAATATTTGAGCAAAATTATATATGCATTATACAGAGTTATTTCATTTAAAATGAAATTTTCTTTAAATCAAAAATGTGTCTATAATTGTCCAAATTTAGTTCAAATTATTTTAACCTAAAAATAGCGGGACATCGAGCAGGTTTCTAAAGGCAATTACCGTGCCACTTTTAAATGCAAATCAAGATTTAATGTTAATTGCTTTTCTTATTTAAATTAATATTTTTCATTTACATAACTAGTGGTATTGTTGTAACCTGCTGCTATTTTAAGGAACAACAATACTGTTTTATTTAATTCACAAAAAATATACACAATAAGAATTAGGGTTAAGTGGCAAGTACGTAATATGGTGATAGAATGTTTACAACCAGGGCTTTGGAGCGGAGCTGGAGCTGGAGCATGGAGCAGGTGGAGCAATGGATTTTTACTCGGAGCAGGAGCGGAGCCGGAGCACGGAAATTTGTAGTGCTCCACTGCTCCAATATATATATTTATTTAATATTTGAGACGATGACAATGGAAGTGGCATAAGTTGTAATATTTACAAATGTTAAGAATACAATAATTGAATATGCCATGCTTGATCGTCTTCTTTTTTTCAAAGACTACTGCAATCAAGTAGCTGCTGCTGGGACAAAAGACCTAGAACTTAGCAAAGCAGAATGGGACGAAGTAAAACATACCAGAACTGTTTTAGAAAAACCAAATATTTCGACAATTGCTCTTCAAGTTGCCAATCTTACTCCGAGGATGTTTATGAAAGAATGGTGTAAACAAGAAAAATGTATGGAAGATTTTGAGGATATGTTGCGTTAGGAATTCTGTCTTCCATGAAAAAGCGGAGAGAAAAACTTATTCAGAACATACATTTTCGTGCTGGAGTGTATGTTGATTCTAGGTATAGAATCTTATTAAGTGCGGCAGAAAAACTAAAAGCAAGAGAAGGTCTTTCAGACATCCAATGGCGAATTAAAAGGCAAACACTAATTGATTTGGCTGAAAAGCCAGCAATTGTTGAGCTGTCACAGCCAACCTGTGATATGATAAATATAGATTTGGAAGATGATGATTTTGAAAAAGAATTGGATAGAAAAGAAAATAGTCGTTGAATTTCCACTATACATAATAAAGAAGACAACGAAATAGACAAACACGTTGAGAAAGACTCCAATGCAATAGAGGATGTGGGGAGATTAAAGGTGCATGTATTCGAAGACATTGACCATTATCCAGAGCGCATCAGAAAAGCATGGAGAGTCGCTTCAAGCATGCCAACTTCTCAAGCAAGTGTTGAACATCTATTTTCCGGATTAAGATTGCTTTTAAGTGATAACAGGCAGTCAATGAAGGACGATTTGCTGTCTGCCATTTTATTTATTAAAATCAATGAGGTTGTATGTTAATTTTTTTAATAATAAATTAGTTGTAAATAAACAAGTTTTTTTATGTGTACTTATATACCAAAGACAAAATTAGTGTAATTCCTATAAGAATATTTTAACTGGAGCATGGAGCGGAGCTGGAGCAAGTACTTTGATACCGGAGCGGAACAACTCAAAAAAAATGGTCGCTCCAAAGCCCTGTTTACAACTTTAAATCGCTTTATTTTTTCCGCGGAAATTTAATTATAGGTTCAAGTGTACCGTGAGATAAAAAAAGTTGAACAAAAAAAAATGATCTAGAGTCACGGCGGTGACATCCCGCCAAATAAAAAAGTCGCTGACTGACTAAATTATTTGCAGAAATCAGTTTCCTATTTTCGGGGGTCGCTTTCTCTGTCCCCCAATCACCTGAAGTAATTCTGAATATCTCTAAATATCAACTTCCTGAAACTCGATATATTGATACTAAGTCAAACTATCCCCGTAATTAATCGAGTTATTAATTAATATGCTATAATTAATAATTAGAAACTAAGTAATTTGGTACTAGAGGTAGTCATTAGACACCATCTCTCTAAATTAATAACTATAATACCAGTAATTTATTAAATAATTTAGAACCATCCGGAAAAAAGAACTGACCCAGAGCGGAGCTTGAGTCTGCTACCTCCGCTTACCGTGAGATGCGCTTGCCAGTTACACCATCCGGACCCTGTCTGGAAGTGAAAGCTTGCTCGCCGATCGTTTGGTTTAGTATATGAATATCTCATTCGAATGAAAATTGTTTACTTAGGTATTGTGCAAAATTTCAAGATATTCTATAAAGTGGTTGCCGAAATACTATATAAGCAACCGAAAAGTGCAAAAAAAAACTGTATCTTTTTTCTTTTCTTCATCCGGCACTGCAGATGCTCGTAGAGAAATACTACTGGGTCTAGAAACCTCAAATTTTAAACTTAAGCCTTTCTCGTTATCAGTGAGGTGCTAATAAAACTTCCGGGTCGATAGGTCAAAGTTCACAGGGCGGTTACCAGGGCTTCTTAAACTATGGGTTGCGACCCCATTTGGGGTCGCTTAGCGAAATCTTGTGGTCACGAGATTTTAATGCAAAATATTGAAAATAATTTATGAGAGTTTGAAAATGGCACGCTTTGTGTCATAGGTTTCGTGAGTTGCGCTTTGTGACACTTCTGGTGCAGCGAGACAATGATTCAGCAACACTGATTATAGTGTGAACTAGTGTAGTGTTGTCGCTTTTCAGCGTATTCAGTTGTCTCTGTTCCATTGTAACACAAGAGTGAACTGTGGTAGTACACCATTATTGTTTTTGCAAATTTATATATATCTTTATTTTATATTTTTTTGGGTCGCGAGAAAAATCACAATCATAAATGGTGTCGTGAATAAAAAAAGTTTAAGAAGCCCTGCCTTAAAGCAATTTCAGTTTTATGCTGGGCTGTTGGAGTCGATAGATTTTTACACGACTTCGACTCCGACTTTTCCTTACCATCCGACTCCAACCAGGGGCGGACTTGTTAACAAAATAGGCCCGAAAATTCTGCGTCATCACGTGACCTCAGAATATAAGCTTCAATAAATATACAGTAGAGGGTCGTTTATCCGAATCAATTGGGGACTGGGGTCATTCGGATAACTTATTTTTCGGATAACCAATTATGTACGAAAAAATATATTAATTTATCCCGTGTTGAAATTTTTCTCCGTTGCGTGTCGCTTCGCGTTGAATTTTCGTCGATGTTAAGCCTAACGAAGACTATTGTATCGTTAAAAATTATTTTTTT